AATTCTTTGATTCTTGTCTTCAAAGACCTCCATTTATTTGGTCATTATTTGTGCCAGAGAAGTTTCTCCGAGTCGAATGAAAGACTGAGAGCGCGGCCTTCCACGAATAACACAGCGGCAGAATAATTGATGTTTCCCAGCGGAGACGAGACTGAGTCTGTACACTTTCATAATGCACACATGATTGTCATAAACACACCGTGCTGCCGGTGCAGGAGCGATCCTGAGACATGGGGGATGACAGTTACAAGTACAATTTCCTTCATTCTGAAAATCATAGAACTTACTATGACATTATTTCTAGGGGGAAAAAAATAAGGAGTAAGCATTTATTTATTTGTTTTGCACTCGAATCTGTAGAATGTGTAGGATGTGATGTCTAAGGGAATTGTTAATTTTATAAATCAGGGGTGTTGTTGTTCTTCTCTTCACGATTCTTACAACCGGTTACAATATAGCACCTACATTCCAATATTTTATTAAAGAAAATTAAAATCCAATAAGACTATTTTTGCCATATCATTGGATGTCTGCTTATACCATATTTTTAAACAAGATGATTTGAGAGGATGTGTACCACTGTATGAATATTAGGGGGAAAAAAGATACCCATACCAAAGCTATAAACAGTTGTTCTGTCACCAGCGCCAGTTTATCTGTCTCTTGAAAAGAAGAAAATAAATGAAGCAGAAACCAGAAACCGCAAGTAAGTTCTCTGTCCTAAAGACTTACACGTACAGCTTTACCTCCGACTGTTGCAAAGCACTGACACTGGAGACTCCTTCCAAAAATCTCCTTCAGCATATCAATAATTACACACATTTTTATTCAGTTTACGTGGATCCTCTACTGCTGTCAGAGCCGCTGTTATGGAAAATTTTACACATTCTTATTAATCAGATTTCCATTATCATGGTATCATCGCATTTCTCATTACAAATCAGATAATATTCTATTATCACATCACAGCATAGTAGAAATACTGACACTGTAGCAGTACATGACAGATGCACGTATTTGTACTCTGTATAACAGTCCAGCTGTATTTATTGATCTGAAATTACAAACGATTAATAACTTTATTCATCCAAATCATGGCTTTGATTGAAATAAATTTGACTGTCTTGCAATTAGAGAATCCTGCAGCCCTCCCTCCATCCCTCGCTCGCTCTCCTCTTTTTTTCTAACTTAATTGAAGCTTGGTGTGCGCTACAGCGGCACTGAGAAACCGATCACTGCCAAAGAGATTTCACTGCTGAAATTAGCCACAGGCACTTTGGCTTTGTGCTCTGCTTTATAGCATTCGTCTCCCCTTCTCTTTTTTTCCCCTATTTTTCACACTTTTTTTTCTTTTCTGTCTTTTTTTTTTTTTTTAACACTGTACAAACGTTCCAGATTACTGCTGCCTGGGAGAGGCTTAAGAGGAAGGAAGAAAGACGCACGAGAGGAGAACATGTGGAGTCTTCAGGGAATTGAACAGAAAATGACTGGAGAGCTCGTTCAATCACACGCGGCTTCAGCCTGCTGTACGACCGCACTGTACAACATAAAAAATAACTAGTGACACAAATGCAAAAATCACTCAGGAACTGCAGTACTGCCCTCTCATCTGTGAGCTTAATGGGTTAATTAAAGGATTTATTATCAGTTTCGTATAGCTGTGCTATCTGTGCATCTTTATAATATTAAAGATATTAAAGGCAACCAAAGTGCCTATTTATTCTATATTTTCTGACTATACTGTCTGTCTTACCTCCTCTGCCTGTGTTCAAAAATTAACTGTCTTATCTATCTGTATCTGTTTGTCTGTCTGTCCTTGCATCCATCCATTTGTCTGTCTGTCTGTCTGTCCATCCGTCCATCTCTCTATCTAGTTAAGAGCATGTTAACTAGGAGAGAGAGAGAGTGTTCAATGTGATGCTCACTCTACCATTTAACAATGAACTTTGTGCTGAAATGCTTTTGGGAAACTTGACCCTGTCTGTCTGTCTGTCTGTTAGACTGTAGATCTCTGTCTGTCCATCCATTCATGCGTCCACCTTTCTATCTATCTATCTATCTGTTTGTCTGTCTGTCTGACAGTCCCCACATCCTTCCCTTCATCCCTCTGTTCATCCACCCATCCATCCATTAGTTTATCTATGTGTCTGTCTGTCTATCAAACTCTCTGGCCATCTATCTATCTGCCTGATTGTCTGTCTGATTGTATATCTGTCTCTGCACCTCTTTCCATCCATCCATCCATCCATCCATATATATATATATATATATATATATATATATATATATATATATATATATATATATATATAGATAGATAGATAGATAGATAGATAGATGTGTGTGTGTGTGTGTGTGTAAGTGGGTTGGTGACAGGCAGCCTGTGAACTGTTAAGATGTAAATAAAAGGAACAAGCCAAGATAGGAAGATCAAAGTAAATGTCATAGAAATGGAGAAATGTAGAGTATGTCTGTTCTATTCTGATGTGTGTGTGCGGGTGTGTGAGCACATGTGTGTGTGTGTGTGTGTGTGTGTGTGTATGCACATACAAATGGAAAAGATCTCAGGCTGGGCATGGAAGCGGTTGATTAGCTAGAACTTCCAAAGGGGGCTAATTAACATCTGTCACTCAGCAGGAATCAGTGGTGTAGAGCGGCTGAGGTGGCAGTGCCATGCTGCCAACGCCGCTGCCAATTATCTATCAACTCATCAGAGAACCATGTTAAAAAGCACGGATTAGCCATACAGGGGAATTGTATTATCAGCTAAATCATGGATTCAGATTAATACGTGGTGGTTAATGTTAGTGTCTCGGATGTGACAGTGTGGATCAATTTACCCACATAAATATCTGGTCCTACAGTGCTTCCTAGCCAGTGATGGACAGAGGGCTGACAATTGTGCACAGCAACAGATGAGCAGTCAGTAATTATGTAAAACCATTAATTACCGTGGTGTACACTGAGTGTAACTGATAAATGGCTAATCAGTGTAGATACAAGGTACATGTATCTAATAAACTGGCAACGTGTGTGTGTGTGTTTAGGAATGCAGTAGGAATGCAAAAAAGTAACGAAAACATTCACAGCTGAGGAACATCTAGCCATGATGTCTGAATGTTCCTGACCCTTGGTCCATCTGAAGCCAGCCAAAGTTCTTATGAATCATTCATGATAAATCTGTTGTTCCTCCCAAGTGAATAAAGACATTCACTTAAACCTCTAGATAATATCAGTGAGGGAAAATTCTGGAGTGTTGTATCATGCGTGCTTGAAAAGAAATACAAAGAGCTTGCACATGTTGAACCCAACAGGAATTTAAAAAGTAACCGTGAGTCACTAGCAGCCGCCCGAAGATCGCATAGTCTCTGTCTTACTACACATCTGTCTTACCTCATCAGCAATCCGACCTTAGCCTAAGGATGTATTCTACATTCCATAAAAATAACATAGTGCTTATGTTTTCTGCTGCGATTAGGAAAATTCCCCCAAACGCATACATTTATAGAGGAATAAAGATAACACGTAGATGAGTCTCCATCCTGTGGAAACCACACAGCTATGAGTTAATCAAGCATACTTAGTCTTAGATGACTATGGAGGAAAGTTTGGATTGGGGGGCAGGCGGCAGATAATTAACTCAGAAATTACGGTGGCATAATTAGGGGGCGATCCCCTTCAGACTGTATCAGCACAGCCCATAATGACTCGCTTATTCATTTCAGTGAGATTAAAAGGGACGAGGAGCGTGGCCTTGGTAAAAGATTTCTCCCATCGCTCGTCACAGATGCTGCCTGAGGCGACTGCCTCCGTTTAGAGCCCCTGTCGTGGAGCTCGGCTGGGGTAGGACATTTAACAGCAAAAGAAAAAAAAAAAGACTGGGGAGAAAGAGAAAACCGTGGTGGTTTGCTGTCTTGACTTCTTTTGGGAAAGAAGACAGGTGGATCGATAAAGCTGTTAAAATGGTGGTTGTGCACATCAGTGTGATTTGCTTCACTTAAATGGGATGTGGAGTAAATTAGGCATCTGTATGAATGAAATATATGATAGTAAGAGATCTGATACTGCCTGTTAAATTTTATAATATTGCCATCATTTCTGATAGAAATGGCATTTCAGTCAGACATGTGGGAGATTGAGTCTACATCTTGGAAATCAAATTGAATGGTATTTCATCTATGACTTTCCACGGATCACTTTTTAAGCACTTTGTTCTTCCCCTTTCCATTTTTCCTTTTATTTCCACATAACAAGGAACCGCAGTTCAGTCACTGTATTTAAAAGCATTTCAAGGGCTTACGGCTATTACGAACAAAGCCACAAAACAAATAAATGATAGAAACGAGTCTATTTAGTCTCTTTGCAATGTGTGTTGCGCATATTAATTTGTTACTATTATTATTATTATTTTTGTTTTGTTTTGTCTAATTCTGTAATAATAGGCCTAGCTAATATAAACTGCATAAATCTTACAATATATAGTAAGATAGAAATTGAGAAATTACGTTTCCTGAAGTAATGCTAAAGTTTAAGAAAGTGAGGCATTGACTGGATATAGTATCTAGCTTTTAACTTAATGTGAGTGAATACGTTAGGTTTGCGAATACTAATATGGTTTGCAATATTCCACTACATTAAATATAGCCAGGGATGGCTGAGATAAAGTTCTTTAATAAATAAGAAATTATAATCTTTGAAATTGTTGTGGTATAAGAGGAATAAAACCCTACAGGGATGCATCACACCACTCAGTCATTGATTATTTTCTTATAACAACACACCCTTTCTTATTATTATTACATTTACCTTTACAGCATTTGGCAGACGCCCTTATCCAGGGCGACTTACATTTATCTTATTTATACAACTGAGCAGTTGAGGGTTAAGGGCCTTGCTCAAGGGCCCACTAGTGGCAGCACTGGGGATAGAACTCATGACCTTCCAATCAGTAGCCCAACATCCTAACCACTGAGCTACCACTGCCCTGTTGTCATGCTGCGTCCCTGGAGGTCTAGTGGTTAGGCCACGGCACTCTCCCCGCTGCGGCCTGGGTTCGATTCTCAGCCCAGGAGCCAACTCCAGCCACTGGGGTTGTGTGCAACAGTGTGCTCTCAGTGCCTCTCCCAAGCCTGGATAAAATTGGGCAGGGTTGCATCAGGAAGGGCATCTGGCATAAAAACTGTGCCAAATCAAATATGCGGACCAATGATCCGCTGTGATGACCCCTAACGGGAGCAGCCAAAGGAGAAACAACAACAACAATTTATTGTAATGCTATGACGTGTATGCTTCAAACACATAATGCTGAGACTTATTGTCTGTTGATGACTAACACCTGAAATTGGCTTAATTATACATTGTGTTATTGATCTTTCTGTCAATAACTGTCTACATTAAAAGATACACTATATGGCTAAAAGTATGTGGACTCCTGAGTATTCAACATCCCATTCCAAACCCATGGGCATGAATATAGAGTTGTTCCACCTTTGCTGCTATAACAATCTCCATTCTTCTGCGAAGTCTTTCCACTAAATTTCGAACCATGACTGTGGGGATTTGTTCCCATTCAACCAGAAGAGCACAAAAGGTCAGGACCTGATGTCCGGAGAAGACAGTGTTTCAATTCATCCCAGAGGTGTTCATGGGGTTAAGATCAGGGTTCAGTGCAGGCCACTCAAGTTCTTCTACACCAACAACACCATGACCAAGACCTTCATATGGATGTTATGGTCAAGCGTCCATATACTTTTGGCCGTATAGTGTATATTAGTGAGGAATCAGACTTTTGAACCCTATGGTATGTAGTTTTAATGGTATCTGAACTGGCTGTTGGGCTACAAATGAATAAACGTCTAGATTTAACATTTATTTTCCATCATTGTATGTATATACTGTATCTTGCTATGCATGTGAAAATTACAGTATGATAAGCTTCAGGATTCTGAATGAGCTTAGTGGCTGGCAATTTGCTTCGCTAGCAAATATTAATGAATATCCATTTAAAATGTTACCTACACTTTCAGGTCTAGCGCCATGTGGTCGCTCATGCTAAATAAAAACTAATATAATGCATCACTTCATTTGCTGAAACAGACATTTCAGGTCATGGGGTCCTTTCCCTGTTTCTGTTGTGTAAACCTGTCCTTCCTGTTTATGTCTGTCTGTCACAAAGTAGTGTATGGGACTAAAACCTGTTTGACTCAAATGCAATGTCTCAGCGATGTTCGTTCTTTCATTTTTATACCCGCTTTATCTTAATCAAGGTCACGGTGGATTCAGAGCCTGTCCCGGGAACACAAGGTGCAAAGCAGGAATACACCTTGGATGAGATGTCAGTTCATCACAGGGCACCATACTCACACAAACTGCCACTTAGGGGCAGTTTAGCTTAGTCAGTTCACCTACTGTCATGTTTTTGGGAGGTGGGAGGAAACCTAAGAAACCCAAATGGACACAGGGGGCACATGTGAAACTCCACGTGGACGGTATCTCAGGCTCAGACTCGCATAGGAGACCACAGTGACATTAGTATCTTTTCTGACCTCAACATTCATTGTTCCTATAATATTTACCTTGAGACTTATTATGTTGTAATTTATTTAGTTTTTTGTTGCTAGTTGCTTTGCTAGTCTTGTTAGTTAGTTCTGGCTGAATAAGCTTGGTCAAAGTACTGTGCGTTAATTTAATACTTAAATGTAATCAGATTTCTCAGAACTAGCTTAGAGCCTTGAGCACTTGTGTGTTTACACACACACACACACACTAGCCCTCAGAGACTTGCTCATGCTGCTGGCTTATCTAACCTCTTACCCGGGTGAAACAAAACCCAGAATGCATCACTCCACCTCCAAAACCCACTGGGCAAATAAGCCCTGACAGACGTAAATGCCAAATTTGAATGTCTTATTCAAAGTCTGTGTTTATTCTAACGTGTATGCGAGATTTCATTGTGTTTTTTTATGACTCAAATGCTTTCTCACTTTAACTTGAACTGTTTTTAACCTTTCATTTGAGCTGGCTCAAATTTGCAGTCATTGTACATGTTAGTACAACATCTCATCCAGACTCGTATGCAGTAATTGAACCCCTGATCTAGAAAAATATTCAAAATCATAATCCTGACTAATTATAATTATTATAATTACACATAATGATTGTAATTATTTATATAATGCCTTTAATACATCTAAACCGCAGCTCAAAGTGCTTACTGGTCGGCGCAAAAATAAAGCTTAACATACAGAAAAAGAAATTGAATACATATATAAAGCAAAGGATACCCTCACTGGCCACTTTATTAGGAACAACGGTACACCTGCTCATTCATGAGATTGTCCAATCAGGCAGTCATGTGGCAGCAGTGCAATACATAACATCAGATACAGGTCAAGAGCTTCAAACATCAGAAGGGGGGAAATGTGATCGCAGTGATATGGTTGGTGGTGCCACATTGACTGGTTTGAGTATTTCAGAAACTGTCGATCTTCTTGGATTTTCACATATAACAGTCTGTAGAGTTTACACAGAATGGTGCGAAAACAAACAAAAAGAAATCCAGTGAGCAGCGGGTCTGCGGGTGAAAACGCCTTGTTGATGACAGAGGTCAGAGGAGAATGCATAGACTCATTCGAGCTGACAGAAACTCATATAAGCACTCTTTACAACCGTGGTGAGCAGAAAAGCATTCTCAGCATGAATGTAATGCATTTTTTTCACGTTTATTTTTTTACATGTAGTGCATGTATATAAGTAATATAATCCCAGTTAAGTCCATTTCAGTTCCAGGTTGTAGCAGTACAAAATGTAGACAAGTTCAATGGCTGGGTGGTTGGGGCTGGTGGGGGTGAATGCGCATACTTATGCAAGGCACCGTAGGTGATAAAAATGGAAATATTAGCACACAACAAATATTTCTTCATGGAGTTCCCATAAAATTCCTTGCACATCATATTTGTTATTGCTTGCCAATTCCGAGAGGTGAAAAGTGTCATTTTCCCCTTTTTGCATGTGTCCTTGTTTGTTTGTTTGTTTGTTTTACATGTGTTTAATTTATTAATGCAAATAATAATGTGTTTGCCTTGTTCGCGTGGAATAACATGGTGAAGCTTTTTTAATTTATGCATATTATTTACATAATGATATTACGATCAAATGAAAGCACATAAAGATAAACTATGAAGCTTCATAAATATTACAGTGTGTTACAGATTTTTAGGATCATTTTAAAAAGGCTGCTTTTTCACTGCTTTTCATGTTTTTTTTTTGTTTTGTTTTTTTCCATTTTGGCACATTCAGTAAGCCATCACTGATGACCTTAAAACTCTATTTGGAACACAGCCTGTCAGGCGTTTGAAGGTGTATGAAGTTGCCAAGCCATTACGAGCTTTAAGAACAGCAAACGTGTGAACGAAGCAGTGTGCTGAAACAGGTGGACTGTTCTGCCATAATCCTTTCGGGTTTGTGTAATCTGTGTCTATTACGTTTTTAGATAATCATGTAAACAACATTTTTAATAGCCTAGGCAATGTGAGGGAGGATTAAACTTGTGCTGTAATAAAAAAAACAGCCATTAGTGACATTATTACTGTAGTTTTAAATGTCAGAGGAGGATGAAGTCATGTTAAAGATATTTACACTGCCTTGCGTAAGTATTCACCCCCCTTGAACTTGGATGCTTCTCTGACTTATCCCCTCTTTTCCTGAACACTGACTTTTGGTGCATCAGCAGAGTTCTTTCCCTATTCTTTCCATATTTTATTTTGATAATAGCCAAACCCTGATTGAGACTCTTCCTTTCTTCAGGACTTGTTTTGATAGCTGCTTGGTCTTCTGTTTGTTTGGGTATGTTCTCTAAAAAAAAATTCCAGGAACAGCTGTATTTAGTGAATCGTGTGAGTTCAATACACCTCAGAACAGGTGTATTAAGATCGTGTGACACACCGGTTGACTCTATTTAATTATGTGACTTTTGATGGCAACTGGCTGCACCAGAGCTAATTTAGGGGTTTTCACAGAAATGGGGGTGAATACTTATGCAATCACACTTTTTTTATTTTTAAATAATTTTGCAGACTATATTGATTTTTGCTCCCTTTTCCATATTGAAGACTGCTGTATTTGTGCATATTCATGACATATAATCCCAGTTAAGTCCATTTCAGTTCCAGGATGTAGCACTACAAAATGTAGACAAGTTCAATGGCTGGGTGGTTGGGGCTGGTGGGGGTGAATGTGCATACTTATGCAAGGCACTGTAGGTGATAAAAATGGAAATATTAGCACACAACAAATATTTCTTCATGGAGTTCCCATAAAATTCCATGCACATCATATTTGTTATTGCTTGCCAATTCCGAGAGGTGAAAAGTGTCATTTTCCCCTTTTTGCTGTTTCTATACTGTCAAAAACAAGGTGACAAGGGCAGGCATGGCAGTGTATCAGTGTGAGCTATTGTTAGCTACAGCAGTATCCTCCATACTGCTGCTACCTGACCAATGTGAAATCCATCAGCGAAGCATCCATTCGTGTAAAGCGTGGGAAGTCATTCTACCTCAGAAATTTATCTCTCCAAGCCCTTCGTGTTATTTCAAGGCAAGATTAATATCAGCTTTGCCGTCTCCGCTGTGAATTATAAGAGGGCATCCTCAGGCAATGTGAAATATGCAAAAAAGAAAAAAGAGACGTGTGTTTTTGTAATATACCACATGAACCATGACCGACATACTGAATGCAGCTCACCAAACTGTTATGATGTCAACAACAAACATATGCAGGCCTGTTGTGTGGCCTGTTTTCTAGCAACATGGCCTTTATACAAGCCAGCTGAACATCTTGTATCAGGAAGTAAAGGGAGTAGACATGTTCCTGACAGCATGTTCGCGTGTGTAATGCTTCCGTTACGCCTTCAGGGAAATTATTACATAAAAGAGGTTCCTTCTAACATATTAAAGAAGTGCAGCTGTCTGTGATCAAAGTCATATTTTCACTGTCTTGATCATAGCAGTAGTAGATCTACTAGGAACTATCTGTATAAATATCATACAAGGGCCCTTCTTTCATTTCAAGAACA